TCTTTGAGAGATATTGCCATATTCTAAAGGACTTCATTGTATTTGCAACAATCTACTCCGTGTTGGGAGAATTAATTACTCGGTTGCGGTTTGTTTTCTTACTTAATTTTAATGGATTTGTATTCTTGGTGTTGGGATTACACCAAGTGGTAGAAATCCTAACGGTTTGTGAAATCAAACGTTAGGTGGAAGAAATCCTGAGTTTTGTGAAATCAAAACTTCGGTGGTAAGATAAGAGGCTTTTGAAATCAAGTTCTCGAGTTGTATTTGGATTGTCAAACTCCGTTAAGTTTGACGGGTTAGTGAAGGCCTGGGCACGATTTCTTCGGGGACTGGATGCAGGCATTTAGGCCGAACCAGTATATATCGTGTGTGCATTGCTCTTATCCTTGACTTTATTTTGTTTGTGGTGCATTTTTTTATTGAATATTCGTGAAGAACATTTCCGCGCAAAAAAACTCGTCTTTTGGGCAACATCTCTATTCACCCCCCTCTAGAGGTGTGCGAGGCGTCTAACACCCTCCATTGTAACTCAAGCGGAATTGAGCTAATACAAATCTAGAAGAGTTTTTCATATTCCATCAATAGTGTTCTTATTCTCTTTTTAGTTCTTTGCACGCCATAATTGTTGGGCTAAATTTCATCATGGAGTATAATTGAAAATGGTATAATTGAGTAGTTACCTATACCAAAAAATATAGTTAAATATAATTTAGTTTTTTAAATAATTCAAGGGTAATTTACCTAAATAGGACTAAAACATAATGACTTTCTCAATATAGGACCATATGTTTTTATTTTCTAATGTAGGATTATTGGTCATTATCTATTAGTAATTATTTAACTATGTAGGACCTCAGGCGCTACCAACTCTTCTAAAACCAATTGGTGTTAAAAGAGGCACATACCCTAGCCTTATAGTGCATTCAACACACAAGCACCCACGACATTCGACTGTGACTTGGCCCACATAGCCTCCGCCACGGGACAATTGCTGCACACATGGCCAACAATCTCCCCCTCAGCAATTGCTCCCGTTGGGAATCGAACTCGTGACCTTGGCTCTAATACCACTTGTAGGACCTCAGGCGCTACCAACTCTTCTAAAACCAATTGGTGTTAGAAGAGGCGTATACCCTAGCCTTATAGTGCATTTAACACACAAGCGCCCACGAGATTCGACTGTGACTTGGCCCATATAGCCTCTGCCACGGGACAATTGCTGCACACATGGCCAACAGAGGGTTTACCCTCTATTTATAATCTAGTTCTACCGTATATAAGGCATGTAATTTTGTGTGCTACATTATCAGTAATTCATCCCTTATGCATCAATCGTGGTGGATAATCAATCATCGATTCCCTTGCAATCCCACGATATGGGGAATCATGTCTTTGCTTCGTACCGGGCCTAATCCATCACTGTGTGCCAGCCTTCTATCCATTACTTCATCCTATTCTTGGGCTTTGGTCTCCCTTTGCGCTTCGGTACTGGGCTTTATTCATGTGGGGCCTCGAGTTTGTCTTTGTGCCGCCCAAGGCATGTCGAATGATCCGGATATCCATCCCTCCATATAAATTTGTTTTATTAAACTTCGTAGCGAATCAAATCCAAAATAATAATTTATAATAGATGGAGTATGTATTACTACCTCCGTTCTAGAATATTTGTTTAGTTTTGACTTTTTTAGTCAATTATTTTCAACCTTTGACCAATAACTAAATAAAATATAAGTTGTATATTAGTAATTAGATAAATTAATATTTTGAGAATATCTTATATAACAAATCTACTAAACTATTTTCGTATCAATATCTAATATCATTTTTATTTAATTTGGATCAAAGTTTACAAATTTTAACCAAAAAAGTTAAAAATGGACAAATACTCCAGGACAGAGGGAGTAATAAACATTTTAAATTTATGAGGAGATTATTAGTCCATATTTATTTTGGAAAAATAATTTTGTGGACACACCGAATTTACGTCCAAAATTGTCTCGTTACAAGTCAAAAGTTGCAACTTATTCTACATTTGAGGAATGATGGAACATTCTTATCATGAGATTGTTGGAATTTTTGGCATTTTTAATAGGCATTAAATGGATCAGCTTGGACATATTTGTCAATAGGTCCACTAACAATTTTAAACGTTAAGTAATGGACGTGTGTTCTGTTAAATGAGATAAATGTTCTTGATAATTCATACGCCAAAAATGATAGAGGGTGAATAAGAAGTTGATTCCAAGAGTTGACCCGTTAATAGAAGAATATGGTAAGGATTACAATTTTGAAATTTTATTAAACCAATCTTCTATTATTATTTTTACGTATTATTTAAAATTAGTCCATTTTTACGGAGTTAACTGGCCATTAATCTTGAATTATTCGGGACAAATTTTAAACAGATAGCATAACAGACATGTTAATGGCTAATTAATCACCATTAACAAGGCTTTAAGTGTGCCACAAATGCCATGATTTAATAGTATGAGTTAATTGTGTATATGTTACACTTTTTACGTAGTTTTAAAAATCAAGAGAGCTCTCCATTATTTGGTGTGTGTGTTTCATACTTGAGGAAGAGAAAAAAAAGAAAAATACTTTCTTGTTTTTTAGATAAAGCTCTTGATTTTCTGACCGAATTTCCAGCAATCCTCTTCAAAGTTTTTGGTCGCCAACGTTTCTATGTTGTTCTTTTTTGTTGGTGTGTGGTTGGTTCCTACAATCTCCAAAGACGTTAGCGGTTTTATCCTATGAGGAGAGTGCCCACGTTTTTCTAGTATGGTAGGCAGGGACTACTACCTTAGGGACAGCTCTAGCGACTCCGCTATCCTTCCACGGTGTTTTGTTTTGCAGGTTTAGTTCATAACGATCTCGCTGCATTATGCCTTAGGCCATAATGTCTTCACTGGTGATCTGGTTCAAGTCATAATTACCTTGCCACTACCTCAGTGACCTCGCTGCCTCTCACAATGTCTTCGTGCCAATGTCCTTGCGGTCTAGTGCATAATATCCTCATAAAAGAAGGCGCTTTGAAGATCTAGAGATTTATTTTCAATTTTGTTTATCTTGTTAAATTCTGAATAAATTATAAATTTAGAATTATTATTTATTTTTATTTTCTTGGGCCGTTCATCTTTCCCGTCTGTTCTAATCCGTGAGAAAATTGTAACATGGAGTGTAGCATGCGGCTCAACCTTGCACTCCGCGTTCATAGAAAATGCTTCTTCCAGACAACATGAAGGTCAACATTGATGCATCAATTGGTCTTTTGGATCGAGGTAGAGGCTATTCCAGTGAAAGAGGCACTGAGTTTGGTGAAATCAGAAGACTGGTAAGAAAATTATATTGTGAAAATTGATTGCAAAACAAGTATTGATTCTCTCTCTTGTTCAGATATATGTGGGTCCTATTTTAATTCTTCATTCACCCTGTGACGGAGATCTTAGTTTTATGTTTAATTTTTCCTGTGCTAATAAGCTAATGAGGCGACACATTTATTAGCGCGTGTCATTTATAATTCTATAGTAGGTGTTGGGAAGTGGGTGGACTCACCTCCAATGGTAACTGGTAAATAATTTAGAAAGAATAAAACACGTACAAGTACAAAGGGCATATCCTTAATTATTAATATGTTTCTTTAATGATACTTGGTTTAAATAAAAAAAGAAACGTGAAATATTGACAAAGTAAAATATTTATTTGAGGGGATTTTCTAGGGTACCTTTGCAAATGGAGGGGCATGGATGCACCTCAACTCAATTGCTGCCATATGGATGGCTAGTTACCCGAAATAATTAAAAATAATTTCATACTCCGTATCACTTAACTTTGAGAAAATACAAAATGGCCCTGCCTCACTTTGTCCTTTAATTACTTGATTGTAAAATCATTAATGTTAATTTACTTCTTTTTATGGGGTATTAATTTTTTTAGTACTGTGATTTTTTTAAATATTTTTTTAAATATTTTTTTAGAAAAAATAACATGAATACTTCAAAAAAATTGTGATTGTACATTAGTACTCTAAAATTTAACCAACGAAACCCAAAAATTCTACTAAATTCATTTCTGAGTATTTGTCTATTTTTTACTTTTCTCGATCAAAATTGGTATACTTTGACCATAATTAAAAGAGTATTAGACATTGATACAATAATAATTTTATCAAATTTATTTTATAATCTATTTTCATAATATAATTTTAAATAATATTTCATATATATTTTATTTAATTTTAGGCCAAAGGTTTAAAATAGTTGGCTGCAAAAAGTTAGAACTGGACAATTACACGGGAACAGAAGTAGTACATATTCACATTTTTATCTAGCCGCTGCCTACTGAACTAAATACGTGATATTTAAAATGTTAATTAGACATTTAATAAGTATGAGTTGGCAACTAAATACACATGAAATATTACATTTGTCCCTAAGTATTTGTTCAATTTCTACTTTTTCAGTTAACATTTAAAATCTAATGTACTACGTACGTAGTATTTAGCTGGGTTGGTACCCACAACTCAACATTGTAACAAGTAGAATTTTTAGGAGCTGTAGTGTAATTTATTGAATTTTGGTGTACTAATGTATACTTACGAATTTTTTGGACTATTCATGTAATTATTTCTAAGAAAATTTATATAAACAAAAAATTTAATGTATGTTTGTTAGGGAACCAATTCAACAAAAAATTCAAGCTTTTGGTTGTGGCCCATAAATAGTGTTGGGAAAATATTATAGATTTTGATGATGATGTATTTAGATTGTAATAGGGACATTAGGCATCCCCCAATATTCAATGTAATCTTTCTTTTTAGAAATATTGTTAAAACCGAGTTCTTAAGAAATCCAATAAAGTTGTGATATTTCTTTAAGTGGTTTGATGCTTAAAGACTTAATCAAATTCTGTGATATGGAAATTGGATATCTTGATCGGAAATGTCAGAGACAAGTAAGGATTTCTCAAAGCAGATGAAGATCCTCTAATCCGGGATACTACATAATAACCGGATGTCTCGCTACAACCCACTGAAGGCTAAGTCATTCAAATCGGAAGACTACCGCGAATCTCTTTCTCACCTGGAAGTCTGTGAATGACTCTTCCGGATTTGTCAGCAAAAGAATCGGATGCCTCAAGAAAAGATCGGAACTCTCAGAAGCGGACAAGTGAGAAAAGACTTAGAAAAATTCTAAGTCTTGAATGAGGAAATTCTACCCGTTGGTAAGGAAAAATCAATCTCTTGATTTTCAACGGCTAGATTGAAGATAATTAAGCTGATTCAAGAACAAATGACTTGAAGACAAAGTCTGGAACCCTCAAATTAAAGAGCTCGTCCAGAATTCCTAAACAAGCACTAAAAGACAAACTGAGTAATGTGCTACAGTCCAGAATTCTTGAACAACAGCTAGAAGACGGATTC